TTAAGTTACATCAGTATCCAGATGTCACCTCCCAACCTGACCATGGATATCTATGCAGCAGCAGAGCACCTGCAGTAACACCACAGAGATGAGTGTGGTACTGATAGAACAATCCAGTGGACTTGAAACACATTTCTACTGATGTTTCAAGTAAAACAAATCAGCCTGGAAAAGCTAAAGCCAGCATTTCAAGTGACAGGGCTGAAGCAGCAGCAATGCAGAGTAAACAGATCTCTAGTTTCAAAGCTGAATGAGGCAAGAAGTCATTTGCTCTCCAATCCTTACACGTGATCTCTACAGAGGCAGAATATTTATGCTTCATTTGGGTCAAGTAAGCAGGCTTCCTCACAGGAGACTCACTCAGGCGTTTGTTCGGTGCAGACACAACTTCACCTAATTTTCAGCATCCTGACAAATCAACTACTGCATTGAAAACAGCAAGTGCACTACTGATGTGTCACTGCATTTCAAAAAGGAGATTTGAAAGGAAGCACTAAATCTTGTGGTCTGCATTCAAAAGACACTTAAAATTTAGTGGGGATTTTTGTTTTTAATTTACCTAATTAAGATAAACAACATATGGCCTCTTCTGTTTTCTGGAGGTGCAGTAGGGTTATGTTGTTTGTTTGCTTTAAATTTTTCATTTAGAAGCAGCAACAGCACTGCTAATGAGAACAAAATAATCAAAATCACAGATAGAAAAAATAGTTGTTGAATTCCAGCCCCATACCAAGTAAAGGTTTTTTTGCTATACCAATTATCAATCGTGCCAAGTATTCCAGCAAACATTTAAGACTATTAAAATACTGTACTAAGAAGAAAAACAAGTGTATCCAGAGTAAAACTTAGATTTCCCTTGCCTTAGTGTTAACCTCATTTTAAGTTACAGATACACCTTCATCCAGAGCGACTATAAAAAAAAAGAAAAATATATATTTAAACTGGAAAGGCTACCTGAAGTAGATACAGTGTAAAGGGTTGCAGAGCAAAGGGTTACACAGGAAAAAGACAAGAGACCTTAATTCTGAACATCTACCTTAGCTCATACTTCAGTACTACTTTAGCTCTGTCATTTAAGCTTCATATCAACTAGAACTCTTGTTTTTCCCCCAAACCAACCCAAATCCAGTAGCTTTGAAGGAAACTACAGAATTTTATCTGCCCCACAGGCCAAAAAGCATACTACTAAAGCATAACAGCTCATAAAAGGAAGAATTCATTTGGAGCTCTGACAGCATTCACTGAGAATCCCTTCACATTTCCTAGTTTAGCTCATGCAACATTTTGTTCTAAAAGATACCTTCCACTTGTTAAGAAATTTACCTTTTTCATTTCTTCAACATAAGCTATCATGGCTTCCTCTTTGGACATATCTCCCAGGGCACTCCAAGCATCCCTAGGAAAGAAAGTCACACATCTTCAGAGACTCAAAGGCCCACAGGATTTTTTTTTAGCCTTAAATAGGCCAGTTATACAATGCTCAAAGTTTCTCTCATACAAGTAAAATATTAAAAAATAATAATAATAACAATAATAATAATAATAATAAAAATTTAAACTGCAAACTGCTATTGTATTCAAGTTTGTAATTTGCTAAGATAATTAAAGCAGTGGGACATACATACAGAAGAAACAAAATGAACAGCCTGAGGAATAGCTAATCAACGATGATCTTGTACCCAGTAACGTTGTTTACAAGTCCAGATATTATGAAAAACACATACTTCCCTTTCTTTTGACTGACTTAGGGTCCTTGACAACAGGAAAAAAAAAAAAAAAAGCCTAATACTCAGCTGGCACCTACAAATATCTGCCAGAATAAGTCATAAGTTGGTCAATAATAAGTCAGAATAGGCTACAACAAAAGTGTGCCGTCCTTTGCACCTGAGTTTAGTAACAAAGGAAAGATGCACCTGTCCAAAAGGCAAATAATTTAATCATTGCCTCCAGCTACCACCGTAGTTAACTCATGACCTAAAAAATACCCAACTTTCCAGTCTTGCAACACAGAAAATGTCAAACTTTTTAGCATTGCAAAAAGAATGCCAGAACACAGGCTGAAATAAAGCATTTCCTTACCCAGAACTGCACTCGATTTGACACTATCCATACCTTTTGCCAGACTACTTGTCCCACTTACAGCAAAAAACCCCAAGGCTGGGGATCACATTTCAGCCACAAACAGCCAGATGAGTGGGAGCTTACTGTCCCAGTCATGCAAACACACCTTCTCCCCATTTCACAGATCCCAAGAAGACCCTGACCATAGAGACAGCAATAATAGTTGCTTTTCAGAAAAAAACTATTAAAATAACTTAATTAGGGGAGTGTTCATACAGGTTCTCAGACGGCTTGTAGTCTAAAAAAAATGCTATAAGCAGCAAGTCCTGTCACTGAGCACATGAACCAGGCACAAACTAAACCTGCCCCAAGAGCTTGAAGCTGTAGCAAAAGCTTTTAGTGAGCATCTATGTACTTCATTCTCATATTATATAATATAAGAAGAAGAATTTCAGACACTGTTCTACATTACACTGTGTAGACTGCCTAGTTTTGTTCTACAGGGTGGATATACAGTGTGGAAACATTACAATGGTTTATAACTCCTCGAAAAATATCATCTGAAACATAAGAAGGAAAACAAAGTAACAGAGATTAAAAAAGAAAATGTAAAAAAAAAAAAAAAAAAAAAAGACAGAAATTATTCCTTCAAGAACTACTCCTCTTAACACCTCCACCCAAGTATAAAGAAGAGTCATGAAAAGTTACCATTTATATCTACCAATAGGATCCCAAAATCCAGGTCTTGGAATGTTACAGGGTCCTTGTGTTGCCTGCTTATAAAAGCTATAGAACTTCAGCATCATTTCATTTGTTGGCTGGAAAGAACCTAGTGAAAGCATTTTAAAATACAATTAAAGTATAATCAAGTATGTTAGCAAGTATTTTGCAAGCTTAGTATTTCTGTCAGAAAACAGCCTGCGGTTTATTCCAGCTTCATTCACAGCAGTGCAGTTTAAGTCAATGAAAAACATCTTCACTTCATCTAACTCGAGTCAGCCACACTGACAATATTTACTTTACAAACAGAGAGCAAGCTGAAGATCAAACAAGGGACTATAACCTTTACTGCTTCTAAGGTCAGAATCCACAATTAGCAAAGAGTAACAAGTAACAAAGAGCAAGGCTCCTTTCACTTAGTTTAAAGGGGCAGATTCCACTTCCATAACAAAGTATGTCACAGGTCATTTTCACATGGCAAACAGGAATCTACCAAAAGACTCCAGAAAATACAACAACAGTAACTCCTCCTGCATTGCTTTTGTTTACTTGTTATTTGACAGGACTTCCAATCACAGCCTCATCGCTCTTCCTTGTTTGCTTCTCTTCCTTCACAGAACAAAGATTTGTACGGGTAGGAAGCGCAAACACAACACTGCAATAACTGGCAGAGAAAATTCATACTTACTCCTTTAAATCAAATATTCTGGGGCTGGATTTTTGTCATTAAGGGATGCCAGCAACAACCTTTAGTCCCAGCTCTTGACAAACCCATCTTTACTTATCACAGCGACCAAAAGGATACATTCTGACGTTTTGCTCTGCTGTTTCGTTAAACCTTTCAGCAGAAGGATCCCATGTGACATCAGCTCCCAAGCTGCCAAACCAAGTCAGGACCTGAGGAAGGCCCTTCCCCAGCACAGAGCCGCGGGCCGGCGGGGAGCCGCAGACCCCTCCTCCAGGAGGAACTTCTTTCCCAAGTTCGGAAGGTGCTATTTCAGACAGGACGGGGCCCCGCTCCCCCCTCGGCCCCCCGCCGCACAGACCCCAGCCGGCCGCGCCCGCCGTCCTCAGGCTGCACTCACCATTTTTGGGCAGGCTCTGGATCACCTTCACGGCCGCCTCGAACCGGGTGGCGTGCACGGAGCCGGTCTCCGCCATCTCCGCCTCGCGTCCCGTCCCGTCCCTCGCCGCCTCCCGCTCTGCCACCGCGCCGGGCTGCGTCGGCGGAGCGGGAGCAGGTCAGCCTCCCCCGCCGTGCCGCCCGCAGCACGGGAAGGGGCAAAGCGCCGCCGCGCCGCCACCGCGCCGCCACCCCACCGCCCCCCGGCGGCAGCGGGTGCCCGTGCCCGTGCCGCCCCGCTTCCCAGCGCTCCCCCTGCGGCGCGGTGCAACGCACGCAGAGCAGGGGCCCGGCCCAGCCTCGCCTTGTAGAGCGAGCGCGACCCCCAACGCCCCTAGTACGGCCAAAGGCCCACCCCTACCTTCCTCCCCTCGTTAGGCGCCCATGTTATGTCTCCCTCAACAGCGCTCTTCCCCTCCCATCGCACCGCCCCGGAGCTGTCCGGGGCTCGCTGGGAATCGTAGTTCGCCACCGCCCGGCTCCGGGGCCTGGTGGCGCGGCACTGCACGGCGCCCGGCTGGCTGTGTGGTGCCGTGGGCCTCGCCGTCGCGGCCTGCCCGTCCGCTGCGGCCTCCAACGCCGGGATGTCTGTGAACGTTCAAAATGTGTCGCGCTCAGCCCATTTACGGTGCTGACCGTGTACCTTCAGGGGATCCCCTGCTGGCCTATCCACCTTGCTGCTTGCTGCCCTCTCACAGTTGCCTCTTACCCCCGCTTCCACATACTTCAGCTGAAATATCTCTGTGTTTACACTTTCAATGACTCCTACTTAATTTAAAATCCCATTCCTAAATTTTTAAAGCCTGGAACCACGGAAATGGCTATTGCTGTGGGGTTCAGAATGAGTGCTGTTGTGGTACAGTGAGCTGTCGCAGTAGCTAAACAAATGCCCTTACCCAAAAGCACTGTGCATCAGCACACACAATCAGACAAAAGTATGCTAAAACTGATTTTGTAGCAAATGGAATAGTTTATCCAGTGAGTCTCACGATGAATTAGTAGCCTCTCTACACAGAGTACAAAACCTTGGCACTCCAATCAATTCCTATATCTGGTACACATTAAAATGTATTTTAAATTCTTCTTAAGGCAGTTGTGCGCTCACAGTATGTGCCCTCTGGTGGGAAAGCAAAAGCTTCACAGAGAGGGAATTAATGCTGATCAGCCCATACTCCGCTGAGCTACTTCGTTCCACAAGGTCAGCAGCCAGCTGGCCAGGGAGAGCTTTGCTGGAGAGCAGCTGACACTTGCAGAGGTGTTCAGACAGGATTCATCACAGTGGGCAAAGGACAAACCCATGTTATAAACATCACTGCTCCACTCACACAATTGTTACAGAAGAATTTCTCTGAAATTTTCATCCCTAGTGGGAGATTTCTAAAACTCTTGTATGTTTTATACCAATATCCATCTTCCTTTCTATCCACAAAGGTAGGAACGACAGAAGCACAGATCAAAGGTGTTTGTTTGAAGATAAGTGGGTCTCTGTATAAATATGGGTTCTTTGAGTGTGCAAAGAGTTAACTGCAAAAAAGTAATAAGGAAATGAAGGTCCTCTTGTGAGGCCAGATGATGTGTAAATTCTATTTACCTGAGAAAATCTATAATTACATTTACCATTTAATTGATTTAAGAGAAACGCAGTCTGCTTCCCAGACTTTCACTGGGAGGAGGAGATGCAAATGACAACCTGTTTAATGGCTGTGTGCAAAACAGAAGCCGCCATCTTTGCACTGAAGGTGTGTAAGATCCGTAAACCCAGAATGAGGCACTTGAAAATGAAGTAATTCAAAATAATTAGTACCATCATGCTCTGAGACATGGATGAAATAGTAAATGAGAGGCAAATTATGAGTGCTGGTGAGCCTGTGAGAGCACATCAGAAATGACTATTTAATTTAAATGCTTATATATGATATTAACTAGCATGCCATTAACTGTCCTTGTGTGCACATACTGTATTCTCAGTGTAGTGAGTTCCATGTAGAGTTAACAACAATTGGATTTGAAGCATAAGTAATAAAGAAAGCCTTCTGATCTGTTGCACAAAGATAAGAGTGGATCTACATTCCTGTCGCAATCTGGGGACCTTGACTTCATTACTTAGGGAACAAAATTATTTGATAACTCTCTGACATCTTCTGCATCTTCTGGGAACCTGTTCAGAATGACCACGTTTGTAAAATCTGATAATGATCTCTGTGTTGAACTTGATTGTGTTTCTGTCACTATGCAGGAGCAGCTGCCAAAGCAATTGTAAGTATGAGCAGCTCTTCTTTCTTTTTCTTTTTTTCTTTTTCTTTTTTTCTTTTTCTTTTTCTTTTTCTTTTTCTTTTTCTTTTTCTTTTTCTTTTTCTTTTTCTTTTTCTTTTTCTTTTTCTTTTTCTTTTTCTTTTCCTTTTCCTTTTCCTTTTCCTTTTCCTTTTCTTTTTCTTTTTTCCTTTTCTTTTTTCCTTTCCTTTTTCTGCTACGAGTGGTTTGGCAGTGTGTGTAATGTGTGACACTTGACATGTCTCAGTACTTTCTATTGTCACACTTCTCTTTAGCTGGTACTTCATAGTCCACTAAAGGAGAGTATGTGAATTGCTAATATGAGGCATTTCTTGAAATGTTAAGATAAGAAATCCTGTATGCAAGTGTGCTGTTCTAGTCCTGGAAGGAGAACATTTACAGGGTACTGAAGAAAAGTCAGACAAGATCCTGATCCTGAGGATAAACTCAGTATAAACTCAGACCTGTTCTTCACAGAGGGAGTAGGGGTGGTTGTTGAGTCCAGCAGTGCTACAGGACAGTGTATCAAGGTCTGATGTGCTAAGTACCTTCTCTTTCTATGCCACATGTAAGGTGACACTGTCCCTCAGTGTCCTTCTTATTTGTACTCCAGATCTGAACTAACTTTCTAGCAGATGCTTCCAGTGCATCCCAGAAGATCACAGAAGCTACAAAGATAGGGAAGGCAAGACTGTGAGGAGTGACTGAGGTTGCTTGGTTTGTTCAGCCCAGAGGAGACTGAGAGGAGTCCTCATGGTGGCCTGCAGCTCCTCATGAAGGGAGCAGAGGGGCAGCGCTGAGCGTTGCTATCTGGTTACTTACCAGCGTAGAATTATAGAACCATTAATGTTGGAAAAGGCCTCTAAGATCATCTAGTCCAACCATCCACCTACCACCAATGCTGCCCATTAAACCATGTTCCTTAGTACAACATCACCTCCTGAGACAGTGACTCCACCACCTCCCTGGGCAGCTCATTCCAGTGCCTCACCACTCTTTCTGAGAAGTTTTTCCTAATATCCAACCTGAAACTCCCCTGGTGCAACTTGAGGCCGCTCCCTCTCTTCCTACCTGTGAGAAAAGGCTGACCACCACCTCAGCACAAACCTCCTTTCAGGCAGTTGTAGAGACAGAGGAGGTCTCACCTGAGCCTTCTCTTTTCCGGACTGAACAATCCCAGTTCCTTATAAGCCACTCCTCATAAGACTTGTGCTCCAGACCCCTCACAGCTTTTTTCCCCTTTCCTGGACACGCTCCAGGGCCTCAATGTCTTTCTTGTAATGAGAAGCTCAAACCGAACTCAGTACTGAAGGTGCAGCCTTATCAGAGCTGAGTATCAGGGGGACAATCACCTCCCTTCTCCAGCAGGCTACACAAGAACGCCATTGACCTTGGCCACCGGGGCACACTGCTGGCTCTTGTTCAGCAGAGGGCACGACAGCAACAGGACCTGAGTCAGGGAACGGTCAGGTGGGGGACCCAAGAACTTTATCCACCAGAGGTTGGAGAGCACAAAGCAAGCTTCCCCAGGCAGTGGGCACAGTCCCAAGCTGCTGTGGATCAAAGATGTTTGGATAACACTCAGAAATATAGTTCGATTTTTAGTTCGTCCTGTGTGAAGCCAGGAGTTGAATTTGATCCTTATGGGTCCCCTTCTTACTTGGGATATTCTGTGATCCTATGATCACCTTCATTTTACTGGGACAAAGGAGTCAGTAACATTATGCAAGTGAAAAGCAGAAACTGGAACCAATTATGCCAATTGCTCCCTCAAGGGTCTGAATCACAGCAGAGTATTTCACAGAAATATTTTTAAATGGTGCTTAAGAAAGTAGACCAGAGTCTCATATGCATTATGAGCAAGTCTGTAAGCTACCAGATCCAAGAGCATGTAATTTTAGTGAAGCTTACTTTTTGAAGTATGTAATCCAGCAGAGAGAGAATGAATTATTTAAAAACTAATAGTCATAATTATGAAGAACTAAATTAGCATTAAAATTTCTAATTCAAATGTACATGCTTGTGAGGAATGGAAAGATATTGTCCAAGGATAGAGCAAAGGAGTCTAAGGAGTAATTTTCTACATTGTTCACAGTAGAAAGGCTAATGTGTCAGTTGACATTTACTACATGATTTTTAATGAAATTATGAAAGGTATTTGTGTAAAAATCAAGAGCTCTGGAGAAAGAGAACTATTTGCTTACCTTGAATATTGTAAAAACAGCAGTTGAAGTTTGTCTTCTCATGTTAGGATAATCTCTGTTCTTCAGGAAAAGCCCTGTGGGGAAAAGACTAGTTTGAAATGAACAATAATGCCTTTGGGAGTGGAAGTTTTCTTGTGAAGTTCAGATACTTTCCTCAACTAGAAATACCAACTAATTTCACAGTTGGGGATTAAATAATGGAATTATTTTTAATCATTAGGCCACTTTTCCTAACGATAAGACTCCATGTCACCAGAAGGGTTAAAGATGACATATCCAATTTTAAATCCCTTTCAAGATATTCAGTTTAGATATCTCAGGTCTTTCAGCAGTCAATATTGTGAGCTATGTTTTTCTTCCCCCACCTGCCTCCCGCTAGCTCATGTGTTTCAAAAAAGAGGATGCAGTAACAGAAATATCAGCTCAAATCTGTGTCATAATACATCTTTTGGAGAACAAAATATTATTATACTTCTAAAGACATTTAGCAGCATTTGACTTTGCATTTAACTATATATTATTTATGAAGTCGAAACCTTTTACAAGTTTACATCTTTGCAGGTGTAAAGTATAATGCCTTTCTTTTTTTCTTCAAGCTTACTATTCATTTCTTTTATGACATTTTTAATAAAGTTCAGTTTTCCTTAATGCCTCAAGGTATTGTTATAAAGCCAGCAGATAGTAATAACAGAATTGTTCAGGTTTCGCATATTCCAGAAAGAACATTAAAAAAATCCAGTGCCCGTACACAGCCAAGAAATGAGCTTTAGAATTTCATCTTGCAGCAATGGCAGACTGTGTCTTCTTATAAACAGCAGGAGCAGACTGCTCAGAACAAACATTCTTTTATTTCAGTAAAAAAATGTAGTAACCAGTAGTTAAATTGCGTTGTCATTTAAAATGATATAAATTTGGACTTGCTTGGTTGATTTGGGGATGTTCATAGTGTTACGCATTTTCATAATGCAAATTAGTAGAATTTAATTCTGAAAATCGAACTTTGTTTTATGTTTTGACATTTGCGCTTCTTATCCTTGCTACTAGTGCAGCTAAAGTTTTAGAAGCCTATCGTTGTGTAATTTGCCTTGTGGGAATAGCAAACAAAATACTGTGGCTGTATCGCATTAATGTGCTTATGCAATGGCATATTTATAGCCAGACAGCTCTTGTGATATTTCTTTCAATTTCTGGAAGGAAATAAAAAATAACATCCCCAGTTTAGGCCTGTTCTTTTAAAATTCTAGCAAACGAAAGTTATTGTTCTTTCTAGACTCTGAAAAATGATATTGCTGAAATATTTTCATGAAACATATTTACTAGTACACAAAACCTGGAATACAACTGGCAAGGAGGACTGAATTCAAGTGTTTTTTGTCCTGAGTCTATCTTTATTCTGGCAGAAAATATACCACTGAATTCTTGGTCAGTGGGTTTCAACAACCTGATCTAACAGATAGGGATGATTTACTGGAGTAAGTCCTCCAACAAACAAACCCTCAAAAGGACTTTAGACTGAGTTTAGTTGGGTGCTTCAACACTACTTCATTACAGTCTCCATTAGCACTCAGGTCCATTGCCCCATGAGTCCTATAAAAAACCTGACTTCTTCAGAACACAGTGGCAGTTAGCCAGCTTTAATACCATGGCTTTTTCACCCTCAAAATCAGGTCATGCCTAGTGCTAGCCATTATCCAATAAAGTTTATCTGAGAAGCTGTGTTGTGAAATAAATCTGACATTCAGGCATTGTTTCAGTCTTTAGTGTCAGATGATTTCTTCTGGACTGAAACAGACGAGTCATCTCTGCTCCAGACTTTTGGGTGACACGGTCTGCCTGCTTCAGTGAGATGAGGGAGCCAGGTGAACTACAATTGATAAGAACCTTCCAGTTTTTCCCCATTTAAAATGGGGAAATAATAAAATATAATGAAATATTAATAAGAGCTGAAAATGACTGGATTAATAGTTAGGACAAAAGAAGTAATTAAATGTCTTAGGTGTTGTTGTTTTTTTTCCTTGGTACTGAAGATTCTGTAAATTCCAGAAAGGTTAATGAGGAAAGACAGCTGTCAGTTCTTGTTTCCCAAAAAGTAGGGGGAAAAAAATCAAAAAGTCTGCTTAATAGTTCTCAAGGTACGTTACTTTTGGTTCCTAAGAAAACAATAAAAGAAATAGAGACAATTGAGATACAATGGAAAAACATTGTTGAATCCATGGAAGACTTTGAAAAAGTATTTCTAGTCAAATCAGTCTGCTGTACATAGAGAGATACATGCAGCCCCAGCTGAGTGGCAGGCTGGGCAGCTACGTGACTGAAAACAAACTTTGTCAAAGTCTGTTTGTCACACTGAGTTATCTAAAAGAGGGCAGAGGGCAGCCTCAGCAACCATTATCAATCTTTAACCAAAGATGTAGCCATTAAAGAGCACTTACATCATCACTTAAGCCCAGGTCTTTGGTGGTCAAATAGATCACTTAAAAGCATTCTGAAAGCAAATGTTAGTATTACAAATTTGCCATACAAAAGAGAATGATGAAAATATGCCCTATTTATTGCATTTATTTGCCTACCTTGTTTGTTTTTTTTTTTGATTGTTTGTTTTTTGTTTTTAAAAATCTTTCTGTAACTTTGCATGTTGGCCTTCACAGCTCACTATAATTCTCATGAAAGATTCACCGACAATCCTTCTATGAATCTTTATAAATAGAAACTAAGCAGACCATTTATTGCTTTTATTTGGAATTGAATTCAGTGATGTTTCCACTTTAGCGAATTCATTCTTATGTCCTTCCTTTCATAAATCACAGGTGCCACTGCTAGGTACAATGCTGCAGTAATAGTTGTATCAGTATCAAAGAAGCAGTTGAGGAATGAGATACTGGCTTATCCAGATGCAATATTCCCATTCATACATCCAGAATTTGTTGACTCTTTTGACTGTTGAGATGGTCAAGAGCCTAAAAGTAACGATTCTCATATCCTGTTTGTAGCTGAGGACCCATGTGAGAAGTGTGTACTCTTCAAGTTTTTGTTCCAACAAGTGCAGTTCCAAGTGTAAGTGGTCATCTTCTGTAACACTGTTTTTGCAACTCACTCATCAGATTATTCTATCATGACAATTTGTTCCTGTAACTTTTTTTTTCAATCTCCTAATCACGGTGGTCTTTTTTTAGAGCTTTACTGTAGTTTTCAATCAAAATTAATTGCAAAGCTGAGTATTTTACAGAAATCTGAATACATATGCTATGCAGTCTGTAGTAGATAAACATGTAGATAGGTAGGTTGGTGTATAAATAAATAGGTAGGTAGATAGAAAGACAGACAGACAGGTTCATCTATCAAATATGTTCTCACAGAAAGGGCATTGAGTTATCCTGAATATATGTGTACTTCCCTATACATTCCTATTCATTTGCATTATTAAGATAGCCTTCATTAACTGCTTCTTAATGGAATCTCCTGTTGGTCATTGTCTCGCGTACCTGGGATCAATGTTAAGCTAATAGGACTACGATGGTTATTAATCTTTTTTTCAATAGTGGCACAACCTGTGCATTCTTTAAGCGCTCTGGAATTTCTCCAGTGTTTGAAAACTGACTGAGAATTAATATTAACAATCTGCTCTTTGCTGGCTCTTTTAGAACTCTTGGATGTGACTAATCTGGACGTGCCGATTTAGGAATATCTAAATTTAGAACCTGCAGATAACTAGATCTTCTCTGTTCTCCCTTTACTGTAAGCCAAAAAAATACACTTAAAGTACTATTATTAAAGATCTGTTTTTGTTGCTCTGTTTGCTCACCTGATGTTGTATCATTTCATGTCTCTTTGAAACTCTGCAGATGGGATGAGCTTTGGGTTTCTAAGTTTTTTTTTTAAACAGAGCTACAAATTTCTTTGTGGATTACTTTCGACTTGTATGAATCCTGTCAGCTGCAAATCTTGCATTACAAGCAGCTCAGCCCAGTTTATAACTTTTTGCAGAAGGGAGTTGCTTTTGTTTTTTCACTTATTTATCTAGACCATTTTTAAGAGGAACTTTCAGAATGTTTTTTCAATCCTTTGCATGGTAGTACTTCTAGAATTTTGATCTGTATTACCCATAAAAGTCTTTTCTGCTTCACTGCCTCTATGAAATGTCAGCTCAGGAGTTTTTTCCAGATTAAAAATTAAAACTTAGAATATAATTACTTATATATGCACATATACATCTAAAGTATTAAGAAGGAAAGCTTTTGATTAGTAGCATTGGTTATCCCAAAGCCTATGTTCCTATATAATGATAAATGTACTGTTGACACTATGCACTGACTTTTTTTTTCAAAAAGGTTTACAAATATTCCAGTATTTGGATAATATATATGAATGCATTCTGATTTATTGTAGAGGAAACAATGCAAAGATCAGCTATACACATATCTGTACATCCATAAAACATAAAGCAGTGATAATGCATATTGAATTATTCAGTGCAATATTAGCTGTTGCTATCAGCAGTGTATTGAACAGATCAAAGAAAGAGATTAAATAGTCCATTCATCCCCAAATTAGCTGGGTTGTGCTGTAGCTCATGTGGCTGTAGGCACAAGGCTGCCTACCCTGCTTTCACCACAGATACCCTATCTTCTCTGTAAGCAAATCCAAAACTGCATGGCAGACATATTAAGGAATGAGAGACCATTTTTGATACAAATCCTAAAACACTGTAACTACAGCCCCAATTTGAGTCTTTTGAAGACAGAGTAGTTGTTGAGCTAAGTCTATGACTGTGCACGTGCTGCAGCTCACCACCAGGGCATCCCACTGATGTCGCAATAGTAAAATAAAGTCCTGTGCACGTTTACAAAGGAGAGCCTTGGGTTATCAGAAATACTGGCCCTGTGTTTTATTTTTATCCTTATTTTACTCAGATTTGTGTCCACAGCAGAACTAACAGATGGATATTTTTTGAATATTGTGAAAGGGTTTCATGTTTGCTGCATCATTACAGCATCATTTCATCAAAGAACCCATGCCATAATTGGTATAGGCAATGGAAACAGAACAAATACTCACAGAAATGACAAAATAATGACTTTTTAACCTCAGATATTAGAAATATGAAATTGTCTCACAGGTCTTAAATAGGAAATTGGGGTATAAAAAGAAGCAGAATGAGTCCTGATGTGAACAGTCCTGGGCATTTTACATTATTAAGAAGAGGAATAGAAAAGGGTTGGGAATAACTTGTGAAAACAAAGTCATTTGAAATAGTTTTGTTAAAAGGGAAGACTCATGCTCACCCTAGAAAGAAGCTCTGTGGTGCATGTTCATTCATTGCAAATGGACCTTACTTCCTTTGGTCTGCATCTGTTTCATGTCTCAAAATGTTTGCTTTCTTATGGAGCCCACCATATCCAGAGCAGTGTGTTTGCACACTCAAGCTCTTTAAAATGCATACAAAGGGCACAAAATGTCTTCATTTATCAGATTAGCTCACAGATCAGGCACTATTCAAAAGAGTAGAATGGCATAGAATCATGGAATCACAAGGTCAGAAAGGACCTACAAGATCTAGTCCAACTCGTCCTCCCATTATCATTGCTACCACACAACAGAACAAAGGTGTCAGCTCACTGTCATAAAACTCAATTCCCCATCTAGTCAAAGGCCAGGAGTTAAAAGCAAAATAGATACAAATGATTAATTTTCAAATCGCTCACCCTTTTAATTGATTTAGATTACATTTTAATAGAGTAAATGCATTTTTAAAACTTTACTATGAACACCGACTGCATTCACACATTCCCTGTCAGAGGCTTCCAAGCTGGCTGAAGAAGTCACCCCCTCCTCCATACCCACAGCTGCCTTTTGCTGCCCCTCTGATCTGCCTCTGGAGCTGCTCTCAGAAATACCTCTACCCCATTCCAACCAGAATAAACTGGATTCTGTTGAACAGCTGAAATGTCCTAAGAAAGCCAAGGCTACAGATTTTTCTTGGTGTGAAAAGCGCCAAGTTTGGGCTACAAAACCACACCAGCAGAAGCTCCTGCATTATGCAGCTGTTTTAGGAAACCTCTCTGCCCATGGCACAGTTGATTGCCACTGGGGCTTGTTACACTGCTGTTTATAAAAGAGCTAGATTCCCACAACGAAGCTGAAGCACTTTGGTGGTATGGTAACAGGTACTCCCGTCCTGCTGGAGCACAGTTGTTGTTGTTTTTTTTTACTGTTGCTTTGCACGTGTGAGGTAAATATGTTCCTTCATTCACACCCACACAGAAGTCAGGTGTGTCCTAAACATCTGGGCTGGGTAAGTAGATAGGATCGATTCTTTCATCTTGCTGTGACATCATTTCATTAATGTAATGTGACCCTCCCTGAAAAACAGATGAGACGGTGTGTCTTACAGAAAACAAATTTCTGTCCTCTCCTTTCTACAGGTATGATGTTGAGAAATGGCTGAACAAAACCAAATAACTTTAATTGGTAGGAGAAGATGTGCAAAATTATCCTGGATTTATTAAGGAGTAATATAAACAAACATAAAAACAGATTTCCAAATGTCAGTAATACTGAGAAGGAAGAAATATCATTCTAACCAACCCTGCAGCTAGAACTGGTGACATATATTGCCTTTGTGTCTTTAGATTAGCTTTCAGATTACCAGTTTATATCAAAATAAACCTTGCTGTGACTAAAATGTCTTATTATTAACCAATAGAGGTGAAGAAATATAAATTATATCAACCATAATCAGCTGACGTCTTAACTTCCAGTTGTTTCAGCCACTACTACATAAAACAAGTAGTGCATTGCTTACTTAAGGAAATGCTAGCTGAGGGTGAAACATGCTCTCTCATTATTCTGAAGTTTTCTAACATAAATTCAGAAGATAAATGATAAGAAAGGTCTGCTTGTGGGGGCAAACAAAGCCAGTGTACTGTCACGAGATTTTAACATATATTAAGGCACGAACTTGAAATCAATATAATTGTTTCCGTATAACCTTGCATAAGAGAACTCTCACTTCATAATGAATAATCTCTTTATTTTTTGTACCTTGTGAACCACCAGTACTTTGAAACAAAACCTCACCTTTCATTTGATTAAAAGCTCTTGCACTAAAATGGTTTTACATGGATCAAGATAACTTGTAGAATCTTTTTTTGTGAATAAGCCTTAGCAATGGAATAAACATGAATCAGTAGATTGTTGCTGTGATCCTTATTCCTGGGCACTTACAAACAAATATATTCCCTAATGACCTCACCAAACCTTAGAAAAATACATTTGTATGCAAATCTGTGAAAAGTCATATGGCAGTGCGACCCTTAGGATTGCAGAAGCTGTGCAGTACCTTAGAGCTGCAGAAATGTCTGACAGCTTTTGTATTGGAAGCTCCAGGCCATATTCAGTAGGAACACTTGAAATTATAAAGTCTGAAAAGCAACATATTCTACTGATATATACAACTTTCTCAGTCATTTCTGAATTCTTACTAATACTGCCTAAGGGCTAAAATAAGAGATTCAGATCCATAGAATACTGCTATTTGCCACGGACCAAGGCAGGAGCTAGTTGCTTCCAGCCTAATCCCAGCGTGCCATGTGGCCATGATAGCGGTGGTCACGCCAGAAGGAAGCGGGCTGGTGCCTGACTCACTGCTACTTCGGCCAACACCAGCTGCCTTCCGGCTGAACTGCAGCAACAGAATGACTTGAGATGTAGGCTTCTGTTACTGGTTGATGTAATTTATAACCTTCACAGAACCGTAATGGTAAATCACATTCTAGCAACTTTAATGTTCTAATAGACTATTAGACAGTGTGAGGCTACTGTAACTAACATTAAAAGAGTTAACTGAAATGGAGCTTTTTCAGTTATAAAGAAATGATGCTTTTGGATGAGGCACCATATGTCAAATTTGCTGCTGTCTTCATAATGCAGAACAAGAGAGCAGTTGAATACCAAATTCTTTTATATGAAATCAGGTGAGCAACTTTTCAAGCTACACAATGAAAATAATAATAATAAAAAATTATTTATATTAGCCATTTAGGAGAAGATATTCAGCCCAATTCTTTCTGACAAAATAATTTTTTTCTTTCTCTAGAAACCAAAAGAATTTTCAAAAGAGTCTGTTTCTACAAATTTCTCTGACAAAAAAGACTTGCCCCCTTTATAAGCACGTATGATATACAGCCAAACATCAACTTGTCTACGAGACCACAGGATGATGGTCATGCATAGGATATGCCCACTAGATAATTAACTGGTTAATATATTGTTTTAGCCTGCTGAGGCTCCAGTATGTGGCCAATAGCAAAACCAGCATCAGGATTTGGCTGTTTAGACCTGCAGCAAATTACCACTATATAACAGGAATAATTGGTAGTGTATATATATATGTAGTATGAATACGTAGTATATTTTATTAATGCTATTAACTCCATATTGACATATAGTATATTACATATTTATCCACTGATGGGGGATATAATCCTTCTATTTCACAGTGATACTGTATAGTTAACAAGAATAAATGCAGAGAACATCTCTTGGCCCTTTTAGTGCACAGAGAAATATCAGCAGTGCAGACTGATCTCTGAGTAGATGTATACTAACGCTAAAAACTCTACTGACAATATGCACATACAGTGGTTTTAGAAACGTACAAATTAACCAAATGTTGTCAGTTTTTTTTCAGAAGGAACAAGAGCCATATCCCTGAAATTACCTTCTGCCAAACTTCAAAGTCCTCATCAAAATAAAGGGCTGCTGGTGCTTTAATCTCTCACTGAAATATTTGTAATGGGTTAAATAGACTGCATTTCTCAGTGTTTCTTTCTCATAAATTCCCTGAAGAAAAAAAAAAAAAAAAAGCCTGAAGTAGAAATGTGTGCTGTTAGGGGTAAAATAAGACTGGCAAAGGTATAACCAACTGAAAAAAAAGCATTAGAAGGCAGTGCTTAACAACAGATTTCGCGTACATTACAGTACACTACATCTCCCATTTAAAGCAGCATCTTGATCTCCTTTGTAGTTAGAATAATACTAAAGAAATGTAGCCATTATTTCCTTGTTTATAAATGGATATATTTTGTTATCAGATCTCTTCCACTGAGAGATTCCTAGATAGATTCCACCTTATACTCCAAAGACATTTTAAGAAATACAAACATGTCAGATAGAGAGTAAAGGGTCAGACAGTTTCGTTATTTAATAAGAAGATCTGGCAAGAATAATTAATCCATTTGGTACTCCAAATCCTTTTAAATGATATTGGAAGCATTTTTAGTATTAAATACATATATATTTATTACATGATAGTGTTTAAAAGTCCCCAACCCTTCAACAAGTACAATGGTCAGAAAAATACTGTGGGATTATTATGGTTATGCTCAAATAAATTGAAACCTTCACAGCTAATGTTGACACCAAATTGTTGAGCATAGCAGGAACCTGCCATTAGTAATTTACATATTTGCTTCCAATGGTGCCTATGCATCATAAAGATAGTTTATATTTGCATTTGCTGCCCTCTGAATCAAGTCACTTTCCAGTGGAACATATTCACTTTCACTGGAGATAACTTTCATTAGTGATAATTAAAGGAGAATTTTTACTGCGTTGTGCTCCAGGAAACAATAAGAGGTTGCAGAGATTGATTAATAGCTCAGCTAGGTTTGAGACATGTAATCAATCTCACAGGCACAAAAGATTGTTCCTGTTACGTAATGAAACATAACAAGAAAGAAAAAAATGTTTACTCTGAGCTGTGCTTAGCCGTTAAATTCCATTGAAATGCACTAAATGGCCTGATTTATTTTAAAATGCTCCCAACAGAGAATAGCCTCAGTCTATGGGTAATGACTTTTGCCCTCATTATCTGCACAGTCTGTGCTTGGACTCTGACTAGGACAATGCCAAGGAGGATGTCACTGTTATCTTAGTGTGGAAATGATTTTCAGTAGACAAGTGCATGCAAGAGTTGCTCTGCATCCAATCCCTTTACTTTTGGCTTCAATGGCTATTGAAGATACTCTTTTTCAAACACAGCTGAACCCCACAGACTCAATATTACTTCCAGTTGAAGCCTTACCGTTTTAGTGGGACCTGGAACAAATCCAACATCCGTAATGTGTTTTTACTTACAGAAAAAGTGCTATTATACTGTGACTTATTTTGCCATCCTACTATTGTGTTGAAAAATACTATCACTGCAGAATTGCTGTCAAATGTTTGTTTTTGTTGTGAAAATAACACTCTTTCTGCACTAGCATGATGTTATCATTTAATTATTTTTTCTTTTCTGCTTTGTGATGGAAAACTGCAATTCAACGAAGTATATATTTAAATGCAAAAGAGGCATACCAATTAATCAGTACGGAACATGAATGCTTTTAATCTGCATCAAAAAACCACAGGCCTTAGAAAAACTCCAATCTTTTCAATAGAAAATATGTAAAAGTAATTCCTGTCCGTGCTCAAATTTCCTCAAATACTATGCAGTTGTGCAATTTAACTGCCTTTGCACTAATGTATTCTTTTAAGGTTTTGCATTATGCTAAGAACCTTTGGAAGAGTCTTTGATTTCTTTTTCTGTGGCACAAAAATGTAAGTAAGCATTTTAAATGGATAAAAAAAAAAAAAAAAAAAAGAATTCATAGATTGATCAAATGTTAGCTCTGAGACAAAGAGAACTGAAGCTTAGATGTTTACTGCATTCTGGGTCTTACCCATCCAATTAACATGGAGACAATTAGTAATGAGGACAGGAAATAAATTAAGCTGAGAGTTGCAATTAGATATAGCCATGACAGTGAACTAATTAATTTTGAGTGTATACGAAAACTAGCTGACGGTATTACAGTGGTCAAGTCTCCCTCGCCTAGCGTCATGCAAGACGGGAAATGACGACAATAGGAAAACCTGGATGCTGTTGCCATTAGGGATGCTCCAGGGTACACCAAAAAGAGACACTTCTGTTCTGTATATAGTAAGTATATCTTGAAATAGCGTATTAGCTCTGTTTTCACCACTAGCCTGAGGCCATGCAGTGCTGCATGAATTTGCGAAGCCATCCTAGGATCTACATCTCTAGGAAGCAGTTATAGGAGTGACAACCCTGTAAATAATACCTGAGCAAACAGGCTCCACCAAACCCATAATGGTTTGTGCATTCATTACACTCTGGAAGATTTTCATTTGTGTTATCTTCATAGCTGTTATCCAGTGGTGCAAAACAGAACAGAAATGGTACTAATAGTATTTTGAGACTTCAAAACATTTCTCAAGACCTTGAGTTGTGTTTTTTTTCCTGTTAGGGAAGCTCACTCCAAAGAACTATGAGAGTCAAAGACACTGCTGACACGAGGCATCAACCTCCCAGTGCCTGCTTTCAAGTCAGAGACATGGTATACTTGCATCTGCAAGTCTACATTCCTCTATATATCACTGCTAATTGCCAGAATATTACTTTTTCTGGGAACAGTCTCTCTCTGGTTTCAATAAGAAGCTCTACATAGAGTGAGAAATCTTACTCAGGGGAAATTTTATTGGGTATGTATGCAACAAAGAAAAGCTTCCTTTTTAAAGGGTTGTCATTCTCCAACAGCTATTCCTTCAGGAAATTCCAGCCTACCAACTGATGTCTGGGCCAAACCTGCATGGGTCCATTCAGAAAACTATCACTCAGTGCCTACCCTTGCAATTGGATTGATTCTTTTCATATTGAGACTAACCACCCACAAAGCCATGATATAAAAGAAGGCCAAAAAAGATTTGCAAGTAAAAAAGATCACAGCCAGGTATCCACCTACTGCTTTATGTGGCTGCTTTATACCAGCCCTTCCTTGAGATGCTATTATAACCAAACAGTTTAGCCTTATTTGTTACTGGTATAAGAACCATCTTGTCACTTGTCACCAAGATACCACAGTATCTATATTATCTGGTTTGGGTCTTGGAAGAAAGAAATGGACATTCTTTAGGTTCTGCATAGGTATGGCAGCAACAAAACAGCCTGGATCCTTCACTTTTCCAATGCTTTTAGGGCACTGCATGCACTCCTCTGCATGATGTGCTGCATTTTGGGGGATTAAGAAGAAAAGTCTACCATGTTACGAGCAGCTGGGCATAATGACAGCGCTGGGGGCTTAGATTAGGAGCTGGAAACAAGATATGGGACAAATTTGTTGGTGCAACGAAAATGGAAAGGTAAAGTCAGGAGGCAATCTAGTGCCTGGAGGCTGCGCTGGGGAAGATGAAAGAATGAAAACCAAAGTGAAAGAGGCCAAAGGAACAGGGGATCCAGCAGAGCATGGGAGGGGAACAGCTGAGATGACAGATTGAGGAAAGGGTCATGGGGATGAGAGCAGAGGAAGGATCGCTGACATCAGAGACTGCTGAAAAGTGATGATAAGCATGAAGAAGGGATGCAGAGAACGCTTTATAAAAATGAGGTTGAAGCAGAAGACAAAATCCTGCAAGTGAAAATATATTATAGGTCACGTCAAAATACAGTGGAACTATTTATTTTTGTGCTGCTCTTATCTTGTGCATTCTCAAAGCAGCAATTTTGAATCTTATTAATTCTGTGCTCTCCAGCGGCTCAGGCTGCCTAGCAATGCCTGGCTGGCGCTCCGCTGCACATGGCTCACGGCTGCCTAGCAACTGGCAGGGGGGTGCCAGGGGCCCTGGACCAGGCTCAGGGGTGCAGCCCTACCTCAAGTACCCGGATCCCCCAGCTAGGTAGAAGGGAGCAATGCTGCTTGTTACGTCTGTGACAAAAATCTTAATGCTACTTGTAAAAGAGCACACATGGAGATGCCCAACAAGAGTGCAGAGAGCCTGACAAATGCCTCCAAAAAGTGGGAGCAGTCCCATTTTTCTCTGCGATATTCAGACAACCTTTGATGATTGTTGAAATATGAATATAGTTAATTACTAGGCTCTGTGGACTAGATCTGAAAGACAGGAAAGCAAACCAACATAGTGAAGTAGCTTCTTGGGTGGTTACTTCTAATTTGATGTAGGAAATACTAAAGATACCAAAATACCTTTTGGTCCCAGAAAAAAAAAAAATAGTGTTACATATTCATGCAGGATTGTTCCAGAACAGCTACACTTGTACACCTATTGTCAATAACACTGTAATCAACAAAAATCTTCTTACAGGAGCATGAGGCTTGGCATCTGGTAGAAGAGCTGATGCGGCTGATCTGAACAGACCTCGTGGCCTCTGTGCTTCCAGCTGCCCTCTCAAATCCCTCAGCTCCCTTTCCACTGCCAAAAGTGCTTGTGTAGCTAAACAGCTGAACCAGGAATTGATCCAGCAAACAGACCATCAAAAAATAAATTGTTATTTTCCAATTGACACTATTGTAAAGGGAGAACTGTTCTCAACAGAAAAACAAAGACATACCTAGAAAATGGAACAGCTACAGAGCTACACAAATTACAGTGCAGGAGAAGTTGCTTTGATGCTACTACTTTGATGCTATTCTAAATAGGTGGGTTTAGAGTTACATTTTTCTCCCATTCAAAAATGGGCTACATTTCAGAAGTACCCTTGGAAATGAGCCTGTCCCACTGAGAGGGAGCAAATCTTAGACAGCTGAGATGCTGAATGGTATATATGCACAGTTTACTTTTAATGGGATCTCATTTATGAGGTATTTGAGTGGAGCTTGAGAAGCATCATTACATTCTTTTCTCTATCAGCCAGACTCCCCAGCCAGGAAAACTAGCTTTCTTACAGACTTGCATGTAACTTGAGTAAGTTAGTTAACATTTCCTTACAATCAGCAATTTACTGGAATAGTGGATAAGTGTGATTAATTAAAACAAAACAAAAGAATAAGACCATTTCTAGGGGGCAATCTATTGAATGCAGTTCAGACATACATTAGTGTTCTTCAGAAAGGGTCAACTCAAGTCCAAAATTTTATTGGCTCCAGCACTGGTTCTGCTGGGTTTGGCTAACAGCCTGGCCACTCAAATGGCCCCATACTTTTAGTTACTTGAAAATCACTTCCCATATGCACCACGCGTGTTCATGGAACCAGCCTGTGTCATTCACATCTAAGTCAATACAAACTCTGAGAATCTCAGGCATGAGGAGCACAGTGCAGAGATCTTCAGGTGACCCAGAAGGGACATTCTGAAAGCAAGGAGAACCAGCAGGGGCAACAGCTATTAAGGCTGCTCACCTGAACAGTTGAGCCTGACTGCACCAGGATTCCCAATGAGTACGGCACTAAGCTAAAATGTCCCGCTAGAAGTGAGCTACCTCCGCGTGAGGCCAGTCGGGGGTACCTGTATCAGGTCCACCCACCCACCGGGCTAATCCCGCCACCGCCAGGGAGGCTCTGTGCCGTGGGAGATGGCACGAGGTGGCGCTCTCTGATGGCGTCTTCAAAGAGCGCAGTTTGAGGCAGAGCGTCATTTGTTTGTTGAAGGGCTTTTGGGTGGAAATTCGTTGGAGCCCCCTCGAGCTTCTGCTCAGCTGTTTGAGGTGGGCGAGTTGCCTGGCAGCCAGCGCTGCTCTGTTCAGCTGCAGCTGTGTCTGCTTGCAGGACTTGGTTGCCTGCTGAAGTGAAGCACGGTCTGTTTAACAAAACACACACTGCTGAGTTTTCTATACTGAAAAAAGTCAATGCACAATGTCCCACGTGTCTTCCATCTCTTAGTTCAGGGGCAGCAATAACATTTTAAGAAGAGTTGACAACATTTGTGTTGCTTGAGGATGTTAACAGCTCCAGTGAAGCCAGTCTGTGATCTGCAGGCCAAGCCAACAGGAATTCGTAGCCTAACTGAAGAGAGAAATCAAATTTGCCTTTGTATTATGATCACCGGAGAAGTCAATGCCCAGGATGGTTTCTGATCAAACTTACCCTGGGAAACACTAAAGGCTTATCTATATCTCAGTGCTGTTACAGGTCAAATTTAATTATTTTACCTTAAAAGGGCACTTGGAATCCAAAATAAAAATATTTTGTTGAAAATTACCTGCTGTCCAAAAGAGAGTTATTGAAACCACTTTGGAAATAATTTTACTAAGCTGACAAATGAACCAGCCATCTGAAGACAGCAGTACAGATCCATCCCACAACAAGGGCTGTGAGTGCACCAGCTCCACCCTCCACTGCCCCAGAGGGAACTCAAGCATCCAAGCACCTGTCTGTTCCCAGATGAGAACTATGAGGTCCCTCCAGAGCCCAGCAGGCCTTCCTGGGCTCCTGCTATTACCCTCACTTCCATGGCTCCAAACGTGCAGCTGGATTTGCTGACTTTGGAGGGAAGCAGATGTTCTCCTCTCTCCACCTTGACTTGGAGACACCATCAGTGTGGCCCAGACTAGGGCAGCTTCAGTGCTGCAAACACAAGATGGACTCTGGTGGTCATGTGAGATATACAATTGTGCAGACAGACGAGGCTCTCTGCTCTTACTGTGATGAATTTCAGACTATTTTTCTGAAATGTGTTGATATTTCACTACTGTGAGTTTCTGTGGGACAACCAATAAAGCATACAGACTGACAGCAGTTGCTTTTGTGTGTACAAAATGCACAGCCAAGAGATGAGTAACAACCCTTGGAAACAGCTTCTCCTCGGCCTGTTACTCACTGGAAAGGCAGGCTCAGCCATCCCCACATAGAAACAACCTGCTGTTACTGCTTTCTTGTCTGGTATGATCACAGAAAACAGGATTTTACTTACAAAAAATCCCAAAGATATGCAAGAAAAATTGTCCCAAAGAATAACAAGCCACTTGCGTTGCACACTTCCGCAACAACCACAGGAGGTCCTGAATGACAATAGATGAGGTAAGAGAGTGTCTGGATTGATGTAACTCTGAAAATAATGCCTCCTATTTACTTCCATGGAAACAACAGATACAAAGAGCGCAATAATATTTTGATAGATTTTCAGCTACAAAAAACTATATTACAACATGGTCAGCACCATTAGGTATGCATTGTCACCAGCAAAGAACAAGAGCCTGCATGTCATGTTCTCAAAAATCTGCACCAGCAGAGGTGACTCACTGTCACCACTGTTGAAACGCATCATTCACTGCCTCACTGTGCTCACGTCCACTGTTTGGTGCAATTTTTCCCACATGGAGGAATTCAGTGACACATCTTTGTTTCATCTGCACTTCCATGCCAGATGCCACTTTGTCAGACTGACCCTCTGCTGCCATCTGTCACACAGCAACAAAATGTAATAGAATATTGGTGGGAAGGGTTGACCGCTGCTTCCATACCAACAACATCCACTTCTGGTGGTGTGGGCCAACATAATAAAATAGGAGACATTACTTTCAGAACAGCTATCTAATTTACCTCAGACAAATACTTAAGTTGTTATATATTACAAACTGATAATAGCTAATGGTCAGTTGCCACTTCTGGGCAGCCGTTTGCAAGGACCTCCACAGCTCAGATTCAGCCTCTCACCCTCTCCTACAGGATGATCAGCTGGGCAGGGCCTCTGCACAGCACTAAATACCTCCTAACCACATTGTTCTTGTTTTAGCCATTTCGTGCCACCAACTGTCATTATTTTACAAATTTCTTATCCTAACCTGACAGGAGGCAGAATCTTGCAGGATAATGATAGGCTGAAGTAAACGTGACAAAGTTCAGTGAGCCCAAGTGCCAAGTCCTGTGCTTTGGTCACATCAATCCTATGCAGTGCTACAGGCTTAGGGTAGAGTGGCTTGAAGACTGTGCTGAGGAAAAAGGTGTGGGAGTGCTGGTCAATACTCAGCTGAACATAAGCCAGCAGCGTGCCCAGGCGGCCGAGGCCAGTGGCATTCTGTCTTGTATCAGAAACAGTGCAGCCAGCAGAAGCAGGGAGCTGATCATCGCCCTGTACTCAGCTCTGGTGAGGCCACACCTTCAGTACTGTGTTTGGTTTTGGGCACCTCACTGTAAGACACTCAGGCCCTAGAGGGTATCCGCAGATGGGGAAAAAAGCTGTCAGGGGTCTAGAGCACAAGGCTTACGGGGAGTGGCTCAGGGAGCTGGGGTTGTCCAGTCTGGAGGAAGCTCAGGGGAAGCCTTCTCTCTCTCTCCAATTGCCTGAAAGGAGGTTGTGCTAAGGTGGAGGTCAGCCTCTTCTCCCAGGTAGCAGCAATAGGAGAAGGGCCTCAAGTTGCACCAGGGGAGTTAAGTTGGATAAAACCTCTTGGAAAGAGTGGTGAGGCACTGGAATTGGTTGCCCAGCGAGGTGGTGGAGTCACCATCCCGAGAGGCGTTCAAGAAAAGGGTAGATGCAGCACTGGCACAGGGAGGATGAGGGTAGGACTAAGAGGTTTTTCCGAACCTTCTACAAGAGCAACGCTTCCCCGATGGAGCCTTTAGCCCTCTGCTGAAGAACCCACTCTGCCTCAGCACAGCACGAGTGGATCTGGGGCTTTTGTTGCCGCTGGGGCAGGGACACAAGCGGTGACGCAACACAGCCCAACCCCGCCGTCCGCCATCTCCCCGCCGGGCGGCGCTGCACCGTGAGCGACCCCACTCCGCGCATGCGCACGGTGGGGAGCCCGGCGCCTACAGCTCCCGGCGTGCTCTGCAGAGCGGGCGGGTTTTTTTCTGCTGCTTTTTTTTTTTTTTTTTTTTTTTTTTTTTTTTTTCTTTCCCCTCGGAGAGGGAAGGATGGGTGGGGAAAGCGAGCGCTCACGAAAGCGAGGCGAGGAGGAATCCCACAATACCAGGCGGGTTGCGAGCCCGGCACTGCCGCTGTCTCTTTAATGCAAGAGGAAGCGATGCGGAGGGGTGGAAAATGGCAGAGTTGCAGATGTTACTAGAGGAGGAAATCCCTTCTGGCAAGCGGGCTTTGCTCGAGAGCTACCAGAACCTCACTCGAGTCGCCGACTACTGCGAAAACAACTACATCCAGGTGAGGGGCGGTGGGGCGGCTCTGCGGGGCGGGGTGCGCGGGGCCGGAGCCGTGAGCCGCCAGCCGCCTCGGGGGCAGCGCGCCGCTCCCCCGGATTTGCTTTTTCTTTCAACTTTCGCCGCCGAACGGCCGGCTTCCCCCCACCCCGGCTCGGGAGGAGAAGGGAGGGGGGTTATTATGTCAGTCCGGCTCGGAGAAGGGTGTGTCTTTTATTTATTTATTTATTTTTTCCTTCCTCCCCCTCTGTGTGTATTCATTATGAGTCACATCCCGGAGATCTCCCCGGGCCGGGCACGGGGGCTGGGGGGGGGCGGGCGGGCTGCGATCCTCTCCGCGCGGCCGGTCCGGAGCCGGCGCCTTGGGGGCTGCCCTCCCGGGGCGGCGGTTGGCGGCCGTTGGCGAGGCGGCCTCGCGCCATCCGCAGCGCCGCGGCCGAGCCCGGCGGGGACCGTGCACCGCCGTCCTCTGCGGGGATCCGCGGTGGTGGTGCCGCGTTCGGGCCACGGGTCGCCGTCCCGGCGTGCCGCAGCGCGGGGCCGGCCGGCGAAACGGGCGGCGTGCGGGAGCGGGAAGCGCCCGTGTGCAGGCACTCGCGGGCAGGCGTGATGTGGTGTTTCAAAATGGCAATCCGTGCCTCTGGGAGGCTTCGCGATCCGACATCCTGTAGCAATCATCGCGGCCCGCTGCTGCTGCTGCTGTAGGAGGCTCCGGGGCTGCGGCGCGTCCCCAGCGCTCGGCGTGGGCTTTTTTCCTGTACGGCCCGTGGTTCCTGCTCTGCCTTTAGGTCTGATTTAGTGAAACTACTTCCAGCACGCTTTACTGTTATTTATTTGTTTATTTATTTATTTTGGTCAAGATTTGCAGCACAGAACTCTGAAAGTAAGCCTGTATGTATAGCCATACCAGTGTGGATGTGGAACCATCAGGAAATGCTCAGATGAAACCTCTATTTGCCTTTCCTTGACATTTTTCTTTCCCAAAAATTTTTTCTTTAATAGAAGCACTGCTTGTGCAGTGTACTTGTTGAACTTAATAGTGGATTACTCGTGTATTGGAGGCCCTGGCACAGCTGCCCAAGGAGCTGTGGGTGCCCCATCCCTGGAGACACCCAAGGCCAGGCTGGATGGAGCCCTGGGCAGCCTGAGCTGCTGGGTGGGAAGCAGCCCATGGTAGGGGTGGGGCTGGGTGGTCTTTAAGGCCCCTTCCAACCGAAGCTATTCTAGGATTACCTGCAGTGAGCACTTAATACAGGTTATTCATGTCTTTGGCATCTAGTGTTGTCAGTGAATTGTCTTACTGCTTATAGTAATGGAACAGTGAATCTGAAAATAAAGCTTTAACAACTCAATGTGAAATCTTTTTTTTTTTTTTAAGTGAGTTTTATACTTGGATTAAAACTGTGCTAAAAAGTCATATTTTAAAGCATTTTGTTATTTTTGGTATGTGAGGGAATATGAGTTAATGTGTATTTACTCTTCCGAGTTGTTTGCTCCACCCAGAGAAAGCTGCTGATATAAATGCTTCTATGAGGCGAGGTTCATTTGGTTTTACTCATGGGAAATATGACAAATACATAAGTGTGGTAATTGCAGCGCAAGTTTTGACCTGTCTGCTGCTGCTCCCAACTTTTTGTCTGTGTCAGAAAGCGAGAGACGCTTCGGTTACATTGCTTTTCCAGTGCTCTGGAACTTGTGTCTTTTTTTAATGCAAACAAAAAATAAACCAACACTTGAGCTAGTTTCCCTCCATGCATTTGGGCTGGTGTGTTTTTGTTCTGTTTTAAAATGTAGTAGCTCACTTTCACCTCGGGTACCAATGTAGGCTGCTGGGATTGCTGCAGCCTGGTCTGTCTGTGTACAGCTGTGTTTACCCCTTTAGGAGGAAGCTGACATTCTGAAATTCCTAATCAGGACTCATGCAGTAGCTCTGAAAAATGTATGCCTGACTGTGTTGTGGATGTGTCATGCATTTACTGAAGTCGGTAAAAATGACAAATGTATTGATAAAACTACATTTACTTTCTTAGAGTGGCAGGGGTGGACTTTTTAATCAGCACTCAGTGCTAAGCCATCTGCTCTCCAGTTGGAGTGCTGAGCAG